TAGAGCGGATTTCGTATGAGTGGGAAACGGACGGTACTGTACTGTGTCCGTAATCGTACTGTAACCAAATTCTAGTGCCCCATTGTTTCACCAAAATTCTGCAGGCCAGGTGCGGTAACTGTGCGGTAACCGTGCGGTTACGGTGTCCCACTCATACGAAATTCGCTCTAAAGCATTATGGGATGATGAGTACGTTAATATTACGATTTTATATGGTTAATAGTGTTTTACCGGAAACTAAAACACTCGTATTTTCTATATTTTCWCTGTCCCGGATGTACGCGCGCGTCAAAACAACTTTCCCGCTCATTTCTACTTGTCGCATTAGTTTGTCCATATAATAAAAAGAACATTACACGTTGTTGGCTTGAAGATATGGMTTTTATTTTCTCGTGTTAAAAACATTTTACTCGTTCGCGCAACTCGAAAAAAAAATTCATATCTTCGCGCCACCGTGTAATATCCTCKATGTATTTTTGTCTTAAAAAAGTGGATAAAGTGAAATCGTTCACGGCTCTTCACAAAGTTATAGTTATGTAAATAGTCAAATTGCATGCGGTCTAAGAATGTATACAGAACTGCTTAAAATGGATAGTAAAAAGTAAAAATGTGATGAATTAAAATTGCGATTTTCCGTACACAATCTAACGACCGCAATGAAGKCCGGTTAATGATGCCCCTTTGATTTGTTTTTGCCTTTTTTGAAGTGCTTCGCTGAAAGTGTATGAGATCAAGAACCAAAAAGGTCAACCTAAGAGAGTTTTAAAAACAATAAGTGGCACCTCGGATACAAACTGGAAGTGCGGCAAAGTAACTGTTAACGTTAGCACAAAATTTCAGGTAATAAATATTTCTAATCTACCAAAATTTGTAATCTATATTGTTACTGGTATTGTGGTTTTGAGATGAATCAATCTCGAGCCCAGAGTATTCTCGGCTATTTGTCAGCGGTCTGCTGACTCATAAGAGTATTTCCGCTGGATGTCAAAACTTCAGGCTTAAGGTACCTGATTTGATAAGCTTTTATTGGTTTATTTTTGCAGGTGTTATTACAAGCTCAAGCCAGTAGTGGCCAAATTGCAATCGATGAAGTCAGCTTTGCGTCTGGCCRGTGCTGGTAAGTTCCAGTCCTGCTCCTCCTCCCCATTCCTTCACGGCTCGTAGCATAAACGCCTGTTAGCAGTCTGCAGTCCTGCTTTTCCTGCGGTTTCACGTTTCAATAGATTAAAATTTTTCCTTTTTTTTTCAGATTCATTCAATTAACAAKCATTCACACAGTGAAATATTTAATCAGCAATAAACACCTATTAAACCAAAAACATAATTTGAATGATTGATTTAAAGAGAATATTGAAAAAAAGGAAACAGAGCCAAGTTGATGAATAACATCTACAGTATTACACACGTACAACTCAGCCAATCAAAATGCTCGTAATATCTCAAGTATAGATGACTGATGACGTAGATCCACACTTACACTCGCTCTGATTGGTCAATTTCAACGATAGGCAATTATTAGAGGCCAAGAACCGACTACGCCTGCGTKCCATTTTTGACCGATTATCAGACCAAAACAAATCAAGCCTTCTTTTTTTTTCAGTGATCTTAGCACTTTTTGCTCGCTCTCTCTCATTGGGCTTCCTGTTTGTCATGCCAAAGACTTGTCTTCACATTCTCTGTGCGGCACAACGGTGAACTAAAACGAACCATTCTATGTCGACATGTACATTTTTTGATGGTAGGGAGTGGAGGAGGGTATATAGTTTGTCCTCTTCCTTTCCATTGGCTGCTTGTACACCCCCGAGGATGCTTGTTTTTGAACCTATTTAAGGTGCCTCCTCCTTTTTTCTTTAAGAGGCTTTTTTTCCCGTAATTCTCAAAATACCTTATAATCTTTGGCATTAGTGATAAGGCATAGATTATAAGGGATCCACCATTTGAAAAGCAAAGTGGCGGAAGGAGGTGATGGTCAAAAAAAAAATCAGACGGACTTCGAAATCAAGGTATGATTATGCTGCAATCGCCACCCGCACTGCAAGGTTGCAAACATCTTTCTCGTACAACATTGACAAAACAATATGCAAAGAGGGAGGGGGAGGTTGTAGTAACACGAAGAGAGAAGAAAAGAAAAAAGAGAACGAAAGTAAAAACGAAACTGATACAATTTGGAAAAACAACCTGAAAAAAAAAAACAGAAGAGAAAAGTGATATAAGAGTTTAGTAAAAGAACTTAACGAAGCTAAAATTCCCCCTCTTCCTTCCCCCTTATCCTTCTAATGATGATGAATCCCTAAGCGTTATAGTTTAAAGAGTGGGCATTATAACAATATTTACCAATTGTGCGGATACATGAAAGACAATCTAGATTAATCCCTATTTTTCAATGCCATGGAATTTCCGCTTGGTATCCCGTTACAGACAATCTCATGCTTCAGGRTATAAGACTACAGACGTTCTCGCTCGCTGCTTCCAGAAACAATCAAAACAAGACCCAAAGAACAATTTAAAGTCAATTCGTGTTCCTGGAAAAGAGAGAATCGACTGGAAACTTCTTTCGATTCGGTATTATTAGTGATTAAAGCGTAAGTGACCTCGTTATCTTATCGAAAAGTTGTGGAAAGGTAAGTCTATCACTGAATTTCAGCGGCGTATTGATGGCAGAAAGAAATTTGTATCTTGTACTATATTACTTAYGTTKAAGAATATAAGCTTTTAGCTCGTTAGAAAGGTATACCAGCAAATGATTGTTCCAGTTGAGACACGGCACACGACCATTTCAGCGTTTTACATTCGACATTCATTGGGTTTTGAAACCTTAATCTTGTCTCCTTTCCTTTAGTAATGATTTTTGCTTCAAATTATGGGCACTCTGATGACATTTTCATATAATTGTCTCGATAAAATCAAACATCGATGAGATGCATAGTGATTTAGTTTTTTATCGATCTGATCCCTCGATAAATCACTGATCAAGAAGTGCAAGGAGCAAGCAGATCTCATCAACCATACTTCATACTCACATACCTCCATACTTCACTCCTCGACTACATCAGGGATATTTTTAGCAAATTCAATTGCCTTGTGCCTCAAATTTGCTCATTTTAATCTGGTTTCGTCTGTGATATTCCAAAGTTTTAGTTTTAGAGTTTATCGCGTGTAAATGATCAACGTATCTGTCAAACATCAATCAGTGTCTACTTAACGCAAGCGGAAGACATGACGGAAACGCAAGGCTGATTTTTTCTCGCAAAGGATACGCAAGCATCAACCTATAGTACGAGAAAGCGGTAGACTCGATGGAAACGCAACGAAGAAAGCGTATAAGACGCCAATAAAAATTTGAATAAACAAAAGAAATGCGCGAATTTAATATGTATTTAGTGCTGTGCGTCAGTACGTTGACATGTATTACGGTTTTTTTTTTTAATTTCCAGATCAACTCGAAGTTTTGGAAAATGGTGCAYGTAAAAGGACCATTGACCTTGGTCATGTTGTTATTACTCACAGTCGACGCAAGTGTTAGGGAAAGTAAGTCATCACGAAACGTGCGAAGGTTGCGTTATACAAAAATACGCAAGAATAAGTTTTTTTTCAATAGTAAAATGGGTTAACCTGCGTTCATATTACGTGCGTTAACGCAATGAGTTATAAAATAACGCATTAGTGTTTCAGCAAGTATGATACGTATACTGATAGTAATGGTACACAGCATCGGTACGTTTACGTAACATRACGTAACATGTACGTAAAATTCACGTAACACTATGATGTTACGTTTACGTTATTTTTCAGTCTGCCCAGCCAATAAGAAAACTGGCTCCAGGGAGATAACCGCCTCTAGCGGAGAAATCATATCSCACCTAGGATCCAGATACGGAAACGCTATCGACTGCACACTTACCATCAACACTGATCCTGGCATGATTTTCAAAGTAACCTTAACAAAACTTAGCATTGAGCCAAACCCTGACAGTAAGTCTCTAGAAAGTGTCTTATTTTATAGAATTATCTAGTACAATTACTTTTATTATATACGGATGATTTCTAACGCGCGCTAAATGGATTTTTGCTTAAGTTTTGCTCAAAATCTTTTGATATTGAAGCTGGCCAACCTGTTTCTGTCTGCATTCGTTGATTTAACGCATAGGGAAAACAATGGGTTACGATCTGTATCAGTACTTATAAAAATCTAAAACCCCGCCTAAATCAAGTTGATACTTTTTGAAGTAAATAAGGTAATTTCTAACTCATTTCTTTTTTATGACAACATGTCAACGACCTTTTACCGTTACTTCGTGCAAGAGCGATGCCCTGGAGATCGATACCGGAGARGGAACACCATACATACGATGTCATAAGCTACCTGACGGGAAGCCCGAGATATTTAAAACTATTTCCAACAAACTTGTCATCAGATTCTATACTAACCCGATACCTCTTTGGGWTGACGCGTTCAGCGAATTCAAAGGAGGGTTCAAGATGTCTTTTACAACCGAGAAGCTAGGTAAATTGCAGTGCAGTGCAGTCGTGCAGCCGGCTAGTATTGCAGCTGATAAAACCGGCTGCACCCGGGATAAGTTGCCATTGGGGAACGTATTTGATAGACATTTGCACTGATTGTTTGAGCCTATTTGATTGACAGTGACAATGAACTGATGAATATTTTTAATCGGYACTAATTTGGTGCTGGATCCATTTGACAGACAGCAATACTTTATTGTGACATTGATTGGTGAATATATTTGATTGTCAGTGGCACTGTCAAGGAAATCTATTTGATTGACAGTTGAAATGATTACTGATGGATCAATTTGATTGATAGTGACACTGRTTGGTGAATCATTGAGTGATAATGGCACTCCTTTCAGCAGAATCTATTTGATAGACAGTAACAATATTCGACTTTATAAAATTTTTGATATATAACGCGCGCTCTGATTGGCTGACGACCGTGTTTATATCAGAGGACAGAGACACGCGCGCCGTTTTATATTTCTTAAATATTGACATTGATTATTTACTCCATTTGATTGACAGTACCACTAATTGGTGACAACATTTGTCCCTCACGACATATCAGAAAACAACGAAGTGGGACCATCTTTTCGCCTGGATTTCCTGGAAAGTATGGTAACAACCAGGACTGCAGAATCAAGATACCAATTCCAGACAACTTTCAGCTTAATGTCTGGTTCTCTGACTTTTCCTTACAAAGTAAGGATATTTACTTTCAAATTGTTAACTTTCATGGCATTAAGTACAGCCTGTGTAGCGGCCCTAGGGGAGGGGGGAAATCCTCCCCACCMCCTCCCCTTYCGTTTTCCCCCTTCCCCCCTCCCTTAGAGCCGCTATGCACGCTACATTATGTATAACAGTGCACTCGATATTCTATCTTTCAAGGGTCGTTTAGTTGTCAAAGCGATAAGCTGACTATCAAAGACGAACATGGTGGAGTCAGACTGTGCGGCGAGGGAACTGATAAACTTCCAGGCATCAAGCACTTCACGGGGTCGCAAGCAACCTTTCACTTCAGGTCGGACAGCTCTGTACAGAAAACAGGGTTCCGTTTGGATTACAACATGACGCGCTTGACTGAAGGTAATGTGTCACTCATGGGACTCTATGGAAATCACTTTTAATTGGCCCTTGAAATGTAACAAAGGAAATCATACTAATGGTTGAACGGGTTTTATTTTGCCAGCGCAAAAGCGGGAATCAAACGAGAAAAATATTTGAGCAATCAGGTTTAAGATGACTTTAATCATCATTTTCACTGACAATTTTCTACGCCAGCGCTTAACAAGTGGGAAACAGAAGCTCTTTAATTAATGGTAGTTAATAATCTTTAAAGAAAGCTAGAAAAGAGATGTTTACAAAAGAGTCAATCAAGCGAAATGGCTGAGCAATATTTTTTTAATATTTTCACAATTTTGACCTAACAATTTCCCGTATCACTATGACCCAGTTTTTTGACGGATATTTCTCAAACGAAGATATTTACGCATGCGCTAAAGCGTCTAAAGACATCCACCTTTTTCTCCAGGTCACTGTATGTGCTCGACTGGTTCAAGCTACATGTGCATCACCAATTTTAACCGAAAAGTTAGAAGAGTGTGGCACAGAATCAAGTTTTCCATYAAGACGTCGCAAAAACGTGGACTTATCGTTTACTCACACAAGGGAAACTATAGAGATTATATGTACATTGCCATTCAAGATGGTAAAATGTACTATAAAAGTGAYTTGGGCACAGGTAAGACACGATACACCGTAAAAGAAAKAMAATACACTGATGTATCGAATATGTGCTTTGTCAGAATGAAATTACTCATTGTAATAGCGAATGTTTTGCAAATGTTGACCCTTTCAAGCCTTACTATTGTCAATCGTTTTTATCTTTTTTTAAAGAAAATATGCATCTGTGAACTTTTTTGAAAAATATATACATATCTGTTGTAAATTTCGGTACAGTAACAAGGTATACTGGATCAGGGATAATTTTGGGAATCAGTGGTCAAGGTATCTACGTTTGTCTYACCTTCTGATATTTACACATCCAGGACCAAGCATAGCAGTATCTCATGGCCAGGCAATCAATGACGACCAGTGGCATTACGTTGAAATAAGACGACGAAAACGTACTTTAACGATAGCTGTGGATAATGGGAGAGCAGTAGGTTAGTTCTTTTTATACTAAATCTCAATTCTAACATACGTGCGCTGATTGGCGGATTTCATGAGAATAGCTATGGTATATTTCACCGGTAAACCAGCCTGCTGTCTTGAAAGACTTTTGAGTCAAATGGCGGACGCCGGCTATAATATAAAAGCAAAAAACAATAACTTGGAGCGATTTATTGGCGAAATGAACCGCGAGGGATGGTTGGGAGAACACGTGAAAAGATCAGTAAATCACGAGCAGTCAAGCTTCAAGCTATCGTTTATTGCTTAAGTCATCAAATTCTTAGTCTTTGATACTTATCGCGCGCAGTGTATTTCAATATGCCAATACCCAGGGAAGACGTCAATATCCTTTCTTAGGTCTTACCACTCCTATTGGTCTAATGACGTCATGTTTTTTTGTCGAAATGCATCATGGTATTGATGTGAGTTCGTATCGGTGGATGTGTTTATATTATTTTTACTGAAATACAGCCTTTTGCACAAATTATGAGACATTTTTATATATATAAATATACCTAACCAAATATCAAAAACACCCAAGAAATTATGGGATACCGTCGCTGATATTTTGTCATGATTGCCTAGCATCAGGTTGTTACAGACAAAATATCAGCGACGGTATCCCATAATTTCTTGGGTGTTTTTGATATTTGGTTAGGTATATTTATATATATAAAAATGTCTCATAATTTGTGCAAAAGGCTGTATAGAGGATGTCTTTTAATACAATAATATCTACGGATTAGTCTCCTTGAATACGGAGATGTTATAATATACAAGTCCATTAGTTTCACATTTCACGAATGAAATAAGTATTTTGCATGGTCAGGTGAAGGTCGACAAGTTGTCGGCTTCTCACTTATTAGCTGGATGAAAAAKTCCTTTTTTGAATTTCAGGTTCCGCCAAAACCAAAGGAAATTTTAATAGAATAGACCTCGACAAGGCAACTGGGTACGTCCTGGGAACACCACCTCAGTTGCAAGGAATGCCTAATTTCATTGGTTGCATAAGGGATTTTACAATTGACGGCCGTGAACCTCTGACCAACTCCTACGTTGCAAAACCTGACTATCATGGTCATGGCATTAAGGGAATGAACAAGTGTTAAAATAGCAGTGATTAGTGGTAGTCTTTAGAGTGATCACACTTACTGCAGTAAACCGTGCAACTGTACAAACTGAATAGTGCTATTTACTTGTATTTGGTAAATCGTGCGTGCGGAACGCAAATTGAATTAAATTGATGCAAATGAAGCATTCAATACCGTCTTGCTTCAGGTCCACTTTTAGTACAAATTAGTACCACTTAAGATTTTGTACAGTTGCACGCTTTAAGTGCGATCGCTCTATACAGATGTTTTATTTAGTTAAAGTTAAAAGAAACAAGCAATGCTGCATGTAAATGCCCTGCAAAGCAGCATTAAGGGGGAAGGGGTGGGGGTGGGGGGAAGGTAGGGGTGGGGGAGGAGTACCTGCTTTCTTTCCTTTCCAATTCACCTGAACCCAGTCACCTTAAGTCTGCTATGCACTGACAATTACAAGAACAAAAGACATAATACCAATTTAGTCAATTCAAACCATTCTTCGTTGTTTTATTTTATTAAAATAACATTAACTAAATTGACACTTGGAATGATTTATTGTTCATGATTAGTGACATATTTGACTCGCCAGTGAAACACTAGAAGCAGATCTAGGAATGAAGGAAAAGAGTGGGATAATGTTTGGTGTTCTTTTATATGTTGACTTTTTTCAAGTATATAGTTAAAATATTCTACAGCTTTGCACAAAAAATAATAATTATTTCTCATATATTTTGCGTTTTCCTATAATCCTTCAAAAATATTACAATTGCAGGTGCTATACAACTAGAAGCAACAATTCATAAGCTAAATCTTTTAACTTTCACTTTGATTTTCTCTTAAAAATTATATTTTCTCTATGTTTTTAGCATAGAACTATAAACAGTAGGTATATGTGCAGTGCCAGTCTCCTTAGAGCGGATTTCGTATGAGTGGGACACCGTTGCTGCATGGTTACCGCACAGTTACCAGACCTGGCCTGCACAATTTTGGTTAACCAATGGGGCACTAGAATTTGGTTACAGTACGATTACGGTCACAGTACAGTACCGTCCGTTTCCCACTCATACGAAATCCGCTCTATGAGGACATTTCATCCCTGCCTCAACTAAACTACTTAAAACAACTCCTAACATTTCTAATTAGAGGTTTGGTAGATTCTTGTCATCCACATTGTGGAACAACATTGTTTTGATGTGTAGGAGGAATCAGACGGCTAGGAATACCAATCTTCAATAGTTCATCGTGTGTTATTGAACAAATGTTAGGAATACAAGAATAAACTGCTTTTAACGATAAGTCCAACAGACGTGGAATTGTTAACCACAGGCAACTGAGATCATTAGAACGTGGATCTCTCTCTGGATCAAGTGATTTTATTCCACCAAAGGTTAACATGCATCCAGATGGTGTGACGGCAGTGGAATGGAAGTATACTGGGTGAGGAAGAACCTGGTAAAATGGAATACATGTATATATAGTAATGTTAAAAAGTTTCGTCATTTTGTTGTGATAAACATTTTGAGCTGAGTGAAATTATTATTTATTATTTATTTTATTTATTTATAAATTCATAAAGAGTCCTTTCTCCTAATGGCATCATGGGATAGCTGGTGAGGTGCATTATGGGATTGACAAAAGTACTAACTTATATCAGTCAAAATGAGATGATGGTCATATTTTATCATGATAGTCAAATAGACACAATAGCAAATATGAAGATAATTTTGAAAAGAGCAAGGAATATATATCTTTTTTTCTGCACACTTTTAAAGTATGCAAAAAAAAAAATATATATATACATATTCCTTGCTCACTAGTTTTTCAGCATACTTTAGCCCTCTTATTTGGTGTTCTCTAGAGCATTCTTGACAAAGGATAATGATAATAATTTTTGCAAATAACTTCATCCACTGAAGATTTCATAAGTTAAGCTGTCACCTTGTTATGTATGTACCTTAATGAATCCCATGATGCCCTTCAGCAAAAAAACGACATGTATTTATTTGGGAGTAGAACCATACCCATAATGCTCTTCATTAATCACTTATTTTTATACTGCAATAATATCTAATAATAATTACCATGGGGAACTTTGACCACTTGAATGACTTCATATCCAATGTCCAAATATCATCAAATATTTCAGTACCATCATAACCTCCGCAGATATAAACTTTATCTTGAAACAACACACACCCATGGCAACGCCGCCTTTTGGGAAAACTACCCGACTCAGATGGCCAGCATTTTTTTATTTCCCATTCTTTAGTTGAAAAACAGAATGATGGAATTTCCTCAAGTTCGCAGACATCGGATGGATTTACTCCACCCATCCCCCCACCAAACACATAGAAACGGTCACCATATGTCACAGCTTCGTGTCTGTACCGAGGAGAAATAAACGGCAAACTTGTACGAGGTATAAAACTCCACTTTTTCGTAGAAAATTGGAACCGTATTAGTGTTGCAAAGAACGCCCGACCCGAAGTTCCTGCAAATATGTAGAGGTCTTTATCAGAAGAAAGGACCATACTTTGCCCATAGCCAGGTATAGGAACATTGTCTGATCTGCCGTGATTCAGATAAACAAGAATATCCAAATCTGGGACGTATGCTATATCCTCGTGGTCAAGGTCTTCAGTTTCCTCATCGTCTGCAGTCGCTTCCACTTGAATCCACCTGTTTTCCTTTATCACAAATACATGGAGTTTATTGCTGTTACTAAGACCAAAAGGTATCCCAGATCCTCCATAGGTTATAATACAGCCATCGTTCAGAAGAACGCAACTCGAGCAAACTTCTGTTGGGGAAGGACCAGATGTTTGCACTAGAGACCAGACTTTGGTCGGCAAATTGTAACGCCAAAGTTCGCAAAAAATTTTCTCCTCATGATAAGGGGAGAATCCGCCAAAGACATAAAGGTTCCTGTCATCAGCTACACATCTATGGCCGCTCCTAGGAGAAGGAATTGGAGAAGAACTCGSAGGATTCACGATGCAAATTTTTTTCACCTCGTCGTCCGCCATTTTCTATTRCATAAAAACACAGGGAGTCCAAAGGTAAACATTCGCAAAGCCATATGGGTACTCGACCCAATCTTCTGGTCAACAACGCGATTCCAAAATGGCGGCAGTTTTGAGCAGTGCCGATAATGAAGAATTTGAAAAGGTTTTGCAGGTAAAAACGCTAGATTTTATTTGATTTATTTGTAATTCATAAGTAAATTAAGGGTTTACTTTATAAAATCCTTAAATGTTGTTTTTTATCGTGAAATTGAAGCCGTTTCCATAGTTACTGTTTGACATAAAGTCACTCTGAAATTCAATTGAATTAAGTTAGGTTTATATTAGGCTCTATATTCTGCCTTTTCCTTAGGTAATCCAAAGAGATATTAACTGCCTGTCAGATCCAAACAGGACTACGCGACGAARAGCACTTGATAAAATAAAAAAAGATGTACTACAAAGAAAGCCGCCGTTGTCATCAGAAGTGTCACAGAAATTGTTAGAAGAATTAGTCAAACCTCTACTGAAACTCTTCTCAGATCCCACTGAAAAATGYCGAGAATTGTCTGTCCAGATACTCACAGAGTAGGTTTTGAAATTKCCAGTATTTTTGTAAAGATTATACAAGATAAAAAAGTGAAATAATGTCATTTTGTAACTTTTGTAATTAATTACAGTAACAATAACTGTAGGTGCATATTGTAATCATACTTTATAATTTCAGGTTCTACAAAAGAGTGGCTGACATGACTGTTTTTCTTCCCTATATCATCCCYACAATAACCCAACGTCTTGGACAATCTGAGATTRTAGAGACATGTGAAGAGCTAAGGCTTGCCTTGATGGAAAATCTACTGTCAGTGATTGAAATGTCTCAAAGTAAAATGTCTGTGTATATCGATGATATGATCAAGATATTACAAAGGACAAAYGTGGAYCCTTTTCATGAAGTTAGAAAGGTAYGTTCATCAAAATATTTTACTGGAAGACCTAAGAATAGTGTAACTCTAATGAGGACTAAATGGAGCTTAARGTGGCCAGGAGCCTTAATTRATTTGGTCACTGCCACTGGTCTTAAGAGACATAARTGCAAAAAGCTCTCTTATTCACTYCGTTACTTTGCAGTCATTTAAWTAAACATTGTTTATTATTTTCCAGGAAAGTTTTCGTTGTATTAACACTTTGGCACCAGCAATTCCTGAACAATTTTACTTCCAAGGAAATTCTTTAGTGAATTCATTACTAAAGACCATAAGTCATCAGCACTCTAAAGTCAGACAGGCTTGCATCCAGGTAAATCCTATTATTTATTACTCATTTGTTTAAAATTGCAGTGAAGTAACTCTGCTGTCTTTTCCAGACAATTGGAATAGTCATACAGTACGGYGATGGTAAAAATGTTGACGATGTCACTTCGCATCTAGCCCAGYGTACATTTGACTCCTCACCAGCTGTGAGAGGAATGGTAACTAATGTAGTTGGTGGCTGGTTGCTTCATCTTAGGGACAGGTTAGTCTAGSGTCTTTATATATTATTAATATATTCAACTCAAGAGCCAAGAGTCCCCCCACTCTGTCCATTAAGGATGCCAGCTACAGGTCTGCCCGCTTCTTTAACAATATTTTGTAATGGATGCTGTTTGTCTCAGGTATTCATATTTTCATAAGCTATTGCCCTATCTTCTGACTGGACTGTCTGATGAAATGCCTGATATCCAGAAGAAATCTAGAGAATTTATGGATAAGGTGGGTAGCAAAAGGACAATGCAGGCAACTCTTATTATTGGCATCTGCAATATTTTGAATTTTTTTATTTACTATTGTTTTGACTGACAGGTTGGAGAATTGTATGCCAAAGAAAATGAAGAAGAATTAAAAGATAAAATAAACTTTGATGCAGAAAGTACTTATCGACTTATTACAGGTATAATGCTGGAGAAAGCTTGTAGTTGTCTGCTTGGCAACCAAAAAATGATGAATACACCATGGCCCGCAGTCAATAATGTGAGCAGTATACAGTACATGTACATTTTACAGTGTAATATTTATGTTTTTCCTTTCTCTTAGATATTCCAAGGCCAMGTTTAGGATGTCGAATACTAATCCAGAGAAACTTGTCTAAGATTTTACCAGCTGCCTTACGGGATATGTCTGACTGGACTGTAGAAACAAGAAAAAAGGTACCAATCACAAGCTTGTATAACTATATGTAGCACTGAGCGTGAGCAGTTCAAGTTGTTGGCAAAATTCTTACAGTCAAGTCTTGATACGTTATACAGTCATTTAGATAGTAATTTTCTCTGTCAAATTGTGTTTTTTTTAAGTCTGCAGCATTGGTGTATCACTTACTTTTCTATGCCGAGGATAACACAACACAACACATGGAACTACTCTTAAATGGTCTTTACAAAGGCTGTCAAGATGAAGAACAGCAAGTTGCTAACCAGGTATATAAAATGATGTAAAATGAAGTTTGTTTTGAAAAAACAAGTTATAACTATAATAAAAAAAAGAATTACAATGCAGTCTCAAAATTGTCAAGATTTGATAAACATACATTAATAATTTCATCATTATTAACAAATGAATGTTTCTGTTTATTTATAAAGGTTATTTCTAGTGCTGAGTTGGCAGGCAGCTTTGTTGATCCTGCCGTATTCTGCAAGCTTGCACTACCACACTTAAAGACTTCAGCCAGCTCATCATCACAAGCTTGTACAAGCTGCCTGACTATCTTAGCTGCCCTTATACGTGGCTGTAACCCTGAACTACTTATCCCACAAATAGAGGTAAAAATRAGTCATTGTTCATCCATTTATTCAGTTGTTCAAAATTTCATTATTCAGGGAACTTTTTTTTTTTGCTTATTGAAATTTCAATTTTGTTGTGGTTTTATCTAGTTTAGTAGAATGATAATTGTGATTAYTTTCCACCACAAAAAGATATCTTCCAATGCATTATTGATTAAAATGCACATTTACAATTTATTACCTTGTTTTATAGTGATTTCTCTTTTTTGTTTTATTTTCACTAGTCAATTTGCCAGACAATATGCCATAGTGATGTTTGCTGTGCTGAACARACRTCAACTCAACWTGAACTCTTAAATGTGATCAAAGCACTTCTACAAARGACTGGCTCRAACTGTTCTCCATACAGCTACCAGCTATTTACAACAATCATGCATGTYAAAGCTCTGCAAAGCCAGGCTGTTTTAGAAAGAGAGGTAACAATAACTAGATATAGACTGAGTGGTTGTCCATCAACCGTGAAAGAATAACAATATAGTAGACTTCTCCTTGTCAACTAGATGTGTGAACCTAGTCTTTTCTTGTCACTATTGATGGAAAATCAATTTAGTATAGTCTGCAAGTTGGTGAGCATAAGATAAAAAAACAGTCTTTTGTTGAAGTATAAGAGGAAAAAATGGTGCTAATGTATTTGACAACCATTTTTCCTTTCCTTTCCACTCGAGATTTGATAATTTTCTTTTTCTCTCTCACTTACATCTTTTTCATCATCTTTTTCAGGTCAAAGAGTGTCTGGAAATGCTGGCAAGTGTACAAAAATTAGAAAATATACAACAATTGTATGAGGCGCACAGTAATGCACTTCTCAACCAACTCAAGGTAACAATGATCTTATGAAAATGTTTTTTTGGTGTATTTTATTTTATTTTTTTATGTATTACTTGGTGTATTTTTTTTAGTAAAAGTTAAATTATTATCTCATACATAAGTGTGTCAGACACAAGATGGGGAGACTGAAATAATTCCCCTATTCCTAACTTTAAAGCCATTGGTTTGTTCAATATTTCAAGTTCATTAAAAAAACAAACAGTCTGTTTTCAATAACAGGTCAATCATAAATCCTGGCATAGTCATTCACCTGAGAGACAGTTATTGGATGTGTTGCTCACCAATGCTGGYCCAGTAATATGTCAGACGTTGCTTAGCAGCGCTATGCCTGTGTTTATATCATGTTCTGATGTCAATAGAGATCCAG